CCTTAATTTCTTGATGACTGCAGAGTTCTAAAAGACTACTTGTCTCTTCTTCTCCTCTTAGGATGTAAGCAGGTCACCATGATTTAATTCTTCCAATTATTGAAATGTATTTATCTTTTTGGGTTTCTTCTGACACCTGTGTTTATTTTTTAAGTACTCTTTTATTGCTACCTTTTGTTTTCATATTGCTGAAATCCTCTGTTTGCTTTTCATGATTTCTGGTCACTTCTGTTGTCTTCATTAGAAATGTTTTAAGACCTTCTATTCTGTTGAAGGTCCATTTTCCTATATGCTGCTAAAAGTCCATGTAGTTTTTAAGCTCCTTGAGGGCAGGGTTTTTATTTTGTCCTTTTTTGCATCCCCAGTACTTAACACAGTGCCTGGTACCTAGTCAGCCATTAATAAATGCTTCTTGATTAATTGATTCCCCTGCATGATTATATTCAGTCTTTCAATCTAGGTTATTCTTGGTTGTAAGCTTTTGTTTTTTGCCCTTTGTAAAATTATATTCTAATATTTTCTCTCCTTTATGTAAGTTTCAGCATGGTTTTCTATGTTCTTGATCATGGTTTCTTGGTACTTGAACGCTTTCAAGTTTCTAGCCATTTTTAGCCCTCCTCCCACCACTTTTTTAAAAATTGTCTTGGAAGTCCTGGATTTTGGCCACATTTGTGTTAAATTTGGGGATTCTTTCAGGAAAATGACCAGTGTATTTTTTTTAACTTTCTCTTTGCCTCTGATTCTGAAAGATCCAGGAAGTTTTCATTTATGATTTTGTGATATACATTATCCAGGCTTTTGTTTGGTTTTGTTTGGGGTATGGTTTTCAGAATGTCCTATGGTTCTTAAAACTATTGCTCCTCAACCTATTTTAGGTGAATTATAAATAGGCAAATTTTCTATTTTTTAAGTTTAAAAATTTTTTTTGTTCTAATATTTCTTGTTTCCTAGAGTAATTGAGTTCTGTTTGCTACATTTTAATTTTCAAGGAGTCTGCTGTTTGAATAAGATTTGCCAGATTTCGTTTAATGTAGTTAGAACCTAGTGTCCTTCCAATTCTTTCTCCCAGTGTTTTCTGTTAATCTAAATTTTCTTTTTTTTTTTAATCTCTTGCTTGATTTCTTCCTGTCAGTCTTGGAATCATTATAAACAAGTCTCTCTCTCTCTCTCTCTCTCTCTCTCTCTCTCTCTCTCTCTCTCTCTCTCTCTCTCTCTTCTCTCTCTCTCTCTCTTTTTTCACCTTGAGACTCTGTTTGTACTTGTTATAGAGATACTCTTCTTTGAGGTTTGCCTATTGGATATCTTTTGACCCATATTTCTTCATTAAGTTTAGTATCTTCTGTTTATTTATATTTCCAGCTTCAGTTCTTGGTCTGGGGTGTTGACCAGTTTAGAGTTCTAAGGTCTTTAGGACTCCCTGGTACATTCCTGCTATGCTCCTGGTCAGAGTGCTATGGGATTCATTACCCCCTAAAGATTTCCCATCAAAAGGATTTAACCCCTCCAGAACTTCCCCATCAGAAAATTGCATTTTCCAAGTTCCTTTTACCACCTTCAAGTCCTATCTAAAATCCCACTTTCTACAGGAAAGCATTCCTGCTTATCTTTAATGATAGTGTCTTCCCTCCTCTGACTACATCCAATTTATTCCGTATGTATCTTAGCTGTCTATACCTAGTTGTCTGCACGTTGTCTCCTTCATCAGACCATGAACTCTTTGTGAATACGGACTGTCTTCTAGCTTTCTTTGTATCTCCAGCGCTTGGAACAGTGCCTGGCACATAGTAGATGACTAGTAAGTCAAAATGACCAACTGTTTGACCAGATCAGAGAACTGACATAAGTCTGACTTGTTTGCTTGTAATTATAATTGCTTCCCAGGAAGCCTCTGGATTTGGAGCTGGCAGATGAGGTGAAGTGGAAGCCTGGCTTCAGAGCAAGATAAAGCTCATCTATCAAAACAAAAGATAGCCCCAGGGTCAGAGTCCAAATTTCCAGTGAGGATAAGAGAATGATGAAGTCCAGAGGGAAGGAGGCATGGTTGGGAGCTGGTAAAGAGGCTTTGAAATGTTCTAGATCATGGTGAAATCAACACAATGCCATTCTCAAACAGGAGCATCTGGAGTATTTCATAGATAGAAGAAATCCTTCTTGGGCTTGGGTTACTCACTGGATCACCTTCATGATGATCGTAAACACCTTTGGCAAGCATGTGTCTCGATGTTTTTTATCTCATTTAATGTTAATGATCAGGGTTATCAAATAAGGTTGTCTCTATGGTTATATCCATCTTACATAGAATTTTGCATAATTTTGTCACATCCATGAGGAACACTTTGTTGAAGAGTCTTTTTAAAATATGTATTTTATTGATATATTTTGTTTTTTATATCACCAGAATTTTTCCCAGGATCCCTCTCTCTCCCTCCCAGAGGGCCTTCCACAGAAGAAGAAAGCGAGGAGGAGAAAGAGAGGAAGAAGAAGAAGAAGAAGAAGAAGAAGAAGAAGAAGAAGAAGAAGAAGAAGAAGAAGATGAAGAAGAAGAAGAAGAAGAAAGAGGAGGAGGAGGAGGAGGAGGAGGAGGAGGAGAACCAGCAACACTGATCAATACATTTTTTAAAAGTCTGAAAATACATGCAGTGTACTATACAGAAGTGTGAGTTCTATTGACATAATACATTGCATATATACCATATTCAGAGAACTCCCATTTCTGCATGGGAAGGGATGTCTTCTTATTTCTCTCATTTGGGGCTATGTTTCTCCTTTGTAATTTTGCCGCATGGACTTTTGATTCCTTTGAGGTTGTTTTTCCATCTTACACTGTAGCCACTGTTTTCTTGGCTCTGCTCACTTCATGTTTCACTTGATGTTATTAAACAAGGTTGTCTCAGGGCAGCTAGGTGGCACAGTGAATAGAGCTCTGGCTTTGGAGTCAGGGAGACCTGAGTTCAAATCCAGCCTCAGACACCTAACACTTACTAGCTGTGTGACCCTGGGCAAGTCACTTAACCTCAATTGCCTCACCAAAAAGCAAATAAAAAAATTTAAAAAGAACCAAGGTTGTCTCTATAGCTATCTCTGTGTTTCAGAGAATCTTACATCATTTTGTCACATATATGAGGAACATGTATCAGACGGCATAAATCTTTTCATACTTCTCCATACCCATCAAATCTGTCATTTCTTATAGCCCAGTAATATTATATTACATTTATATGCCATCATTTGTGTAGCCATTCTCCAAACAAGGCACATCTACTTTGTTTCCAATTTTTTTACACCACAGAAATAAACTGGTTTAAGTATTTTGGTACATATGGGAATTTTCGTCTTATCAATGAGGACAAGAGCCTCTTGTACGATATTTGATTCCACTAAATCAAATTTTTTTAATAGTCAGGAAACAATTAACACAGGGAGATATTGCACTCTCTTCATCTTTCAGTCCATTGCTTAATGGTAAAGAAGTGGTCTACTCTATTGCTCTCAAAAACTTGTCTATTCCCTCTACTTCTGTAATCTAGTACAATACACGCATTCTACTGGCAGGAAACTGAGACCCAGTCAAGGGAAATCAATGGGAGAGCTTGAATTCAAATCTAAATCCTCCAATTCCAAATCTAGCCCCCTTTCCCCTCCACCACACAACATCCAGGTGAATGGGGCCAACTCCAAATTCCTTCGAGTTGCTTTCAGCGGGTCCTCCACCCTTCCTATCCAACATGATTTCCCATTATTTTCTCATATTTACCTTCCAGTCTCCTTAGGCTATGTTCATTTACCTTTGTTCCTACTAATTTTCTAATCAGAAAAAGGTGAAAAAGATAGAGGGAGGACACAAAACCAAAGTCAAAGTCTTATAAGGAAATTGTTGGAGCAACTGAGAATGCTTAGCCTGGAAAAATAAAAGACTTTGAGAGTAGAGGTCATAGCTTTTGCCGTTGAGCCATTTTCAGTCATGTCTGACTCTGAGAGTCCATTTGGGGTTTTCTTGACAAAGATGCTAGAGTGGCTTTCCATTTCCTTCTTCAGCTCATTTTACAGATGAGGAAACTGAGGCAATCAGCGTTAAGTGACTTGACCAGGGTCACACATCTGGAAAGCATTTGAGGTAAGGTTTGAACTCAAGAAGATGAGGCTTCCCGACTCTAGGCCCTGCACTCTATCCACATAGCTGTTTCCAAGTATTTAAAGAGCTAGCTCATTGAGGAGCAAGTAGACATTTTAGAACACATTGATCCAGAAGAAAGAATTGAGATCAACAGGTAGAAGTTAGAGAAAAGCAGATTTATGTTTCTCCTAACCTGGGGAAAAGCTTCCTAACAGTTGGGACTGAGGGCCGTTCTGCATTTTGCCTGTTTCACGATTGTCGCAACCGAAGAGCTGATCACTTAGTGACCAGATGTCTTGTTACGAGATCCTTCCATTTAACCAAGACAGTTATTCCTATAGGAGGCACAGCTAACACAGGGGCTATTCTTGAAGATGTTAGAAGATTAGTGGGACATGCCAATGCTTAGGACATGTTGGCATAGCCTTTGAGAACTCAATGTCACTTCCAGAGCACAATGAGACATCTGAGGCAGATTTTGTTGTTTTGCTCAGTCTTTCAGTCATGTCTGACTCTATGGACTATACTGTTCACAGGGTTTTCTTGACAGAGATACTGGAGTGGTTTGCCATTAAGACAAATAGAGGTTAAGTGACTTGCCCAGGGTCACACAGTTAGTTAAGTGTCCAAGGCTGGATTTGAACTCGTGTCTTCGGCACAGAGCTCTATCCAGTGAACCATCCAGCTTCCCCTGAGTGGGTTTTAAAGTTGTACAAAAATGAAGTGGGTTACATCATGCGGTAGTAAGTCCCCTGTCACTGAAAGAGCTCAAGCAGAAGTCAGAGATACTATAAAGGGCATTCCTTGTTTCAGGCATGAATGGGACTAGATGACCTCTGAGATCCTTTCCAAGTCTGAGGTTCTATGATTCTGTGATCACCTGGAGTAGAATTTGCTATTTTCAACAGAGATGCCATGTCCCATAGCCAAAGGAACACAGGTTACGATACCAGACCTCAGCCTGCTTGTCAGCACATCTATAAATCAGTCTCTCTAGAATCAAGAAGTGGATTTTTTCTTCAAACCAAAGGAATTCTTGGACCCTGAGAAAGAGGTAAATGCCTGTAAAAATGTGGTTGGAGTTTGGTGGATTTGGGAGGGGGGGAAATTTATGTTATTTCTGTATTTTCCCCCAGCACTTTCTCTGGGCAAAAATAATTAACACTCTCCTCATTTGTCTTAAAGGGATGTGAGGCCAATGTGAATGCCATTAGCATGGAAAGTTGCACCCTCAAGCACAGTGGGCCAGGACAACAAAACCCCACTGTCAGTAGAAAAGGGGATGAATCCAATATGTTAATCAAAACTGTTTAAAGCTATTTTGGTAATAGGACTCTAAGTGGATAATGCAGGGCCCTGCTAGAGCCCAGCACATAAATGCATTTTTGTTTGTAATTTGTAAATCAATAACAGACCTGGAAATACCGAAAGTATTCAGACTTGAGACAATCCATGTCGTTGGAACAAAGCCAAGGAGCAGCATTTCAACAGAGTAGCACAGCCCAGGAAAAACAGGAAAATAAAATCCTGTGAAAAATGCAAACGCCATGACTTGAGGAAGGTAAACGAAGCATCTGAGCAGCAAAGCAAGACCAATTCCATTAGGTCTACATTTGCCCCTGACTTGTTTTATCCAGAGCTAAATATAAAATGCTATGTTTGAGGAAACCAGGCTGAGCTTTCCCCACCACTCTATGTCTCTTGGTTCCACTTCCCAATTTTCTGTCTACACAATGACCAAAAGGATCAGCACATATGCCTAAAGAATGTCAGGAGTACTGGGGACTCTAGGACAAAGAGTATTAGATTTGGGAAGGCTCCTGGAACATAGAAATTAGAGTTAGAAGGAACTTTAGAATGTAGAATACTGGAGTTAGAAAGAACCCCAAAACAGACTATATTATCATTGGGAAGGACCTTAGAACACAGAATGTTGGAGGTGGAATGAACCATGTGTATGCTGGCACCCACTTGTACCATCTTGCAAGAACACGTTTTCAGTGGCAGCATTTGCACCTTGAAAATAACCAAATGCTACAAACCAGGGCACACATTTATTATTCTGTTTATTGTTTAGACTTAATAAAGTGATAGGGGAAATGTTAATAATGCATCTTGAGTTTAAAAGTATATCAGGTGCACATGTTTTTTTCCAGAAAACCAGTTGTTAAACACTTACCAGCACACCACTGGGAAGAACCTTAGAATAGAGACTATTAGGGCTAGAAGGAACCCTAGAACATAGACTGTTAGAACTGGGAAGGGCCTTAGAGAATAGAATGTTAGAGTTGGGGAAAAGCAGTAGAATGTAGAATATAAGAACTAGAAGGAACCCTAGGAACACAGAATATCAGTTAGTAAGAACCTTAGAATGTAGAACATTAAAGATAGAAAGAACCCTAGAATACAGAATATCAGATTCAACAGGAACCCTGGATCGTAGACTATCAGAGTTGGGAAAGACATTTGAACTCAGAATGTTAGAGTTGGAAAGAACAGTAGAATACAGAGTGTCAGAGCTAGAAGGACCTTTAGGAACATATAATATCAGTTAGCAAAAATCCTAGAACATAGAATATTGGAACTAGAAGGAACCCTGGGAACATAAAATATCAGTTAAGAACCCTAAAACATAGAATATCAGAGCTAGAAGGAACCCTGGGAATATGGAATACCAGAGTTAGTAGGACTCCTACAACATAGAATATCAGAGCCAGGAGGAACCCTAGATCATATGCTATCAGAATTGAGAAGGACATTTGAACTTAGAATGTTAGCATTAAGAGGAACCTTAGAACTTACAATGTCATAGAAGAAAGGAGCCTTCGAGAATATATCCAAGTCCATTTTAAAGAGGAAAATGAGTCTCAAAAATGGTGGATGAATTGCCCAAGATCACCCAGTGGCAGAGCTGGGCCTCAAACTTAGGCCTTTGGGTCACTAAATAGACTGTTCTCTCTCTACTACATTATACCTCCCCTCGGCTGTCACCACAGAGTTTAAAGAAGGAAGAGTAGGCATCCATTCCTTTATGGCAGAGAAAGATCATAGGATTGACTTTAGAGATCTAATCTAAGTCCCTTATTTTTAGCTGAGTCCATTTCTCCAAAACTACTTTTACTCAGCTCTGAAGAGTGAAAAGTAAAATATCCAATTTGTCATCCAGATGACTATAAACATCCAGATATCTGGTGTCATGTAGCTATAGATGTTCACTAGATTTGACTTGGGATGGAAGGGATAGAATCTTGAAATCAAGACAGCTCAGTTGCAAACTCAGTGACCTTGGACAAGGTACTTACCCTCAAAAGGCTTCAGTTTTCTCCCCATAAAATAAGGGCATCAGGCCTCTGATATTCCTTCCTGCCAACATATTCTATTAGTCTATAAGTCTGTCTACTAAACAGAGATAAATGGGAATCAGAGTTGGCCATGAATTTTCTGCCAGTATCTAGCTCATCGCTTTATGAATGCTAATTGTCAACGAACTGAGAAAATAGGCTGACTCCTAATCTGTTTGGCATCCAGTATATGGAACTCGGGTAGGAACATAGGAAATGCTGTGTCATCTCACCTGAAACTGTGCAATCTGATCTGCCCAAATATTTGCAAAAAAAACAACACGCCCTCTTTGGTCAGTTTCCTCTAAAGTTCAAAAATAACACTGACCCAGTATGTGGGTGTTGAACTATTTGGGGTCTGAGAAAGTAAGGAAAATAGAGTTTTCCTGAAACTTGCTTAATGTTTTTAACCCCCCATTAAGGGGAAAGATCACTGAGAAGGCTATCATTTTGAGTCATTTTCACCTCATTGTAAAGGACTTCATAAGGGTATTTCAGAGAATCATGGAATACCAAACTCCAAGGGAAGCCATCTAGCCAAATCTCTCAACCAGTGCGAGGGACATTTGGGAAAGGATGGATGGGAAAGAAATAAGCATGTATATAGCACCTACTATGTGCTGGGGAAGGAGGAGGGGAGCATTTCTAGTCATCTTGATCTATATCTTGCCACTGGACCCAGAGAGCTCCGGAGGAGAAAGTGAGGCTGGTGACTTTGCACAGCCCTCCCTCACTTCAATCCAATCCATTTGCAAGTCATGGCATCACCTTCCTGATACCATGGTCCTCCTCAAGAATGAAGGGCAAACAGCAACAACTACATGTCAGGAACTGTGCTAAGTGCTTTGTGGCTATTCGTTTTCATTTGATCCTCACAACAACACAAAGAAGAAGAAGATGCTGTTATTATTATTACCATGTTACAGTCTTATTTGCCTCAGTTTCCTCATCTGTAAAATGACTTGGAGAAGGAAACAGCAAACCTCTCCAGTGTCTTTGCCATGGAAACCCCAAAATGGGGACACAAAGAGTCAATCACAAATCATTCGTTGAAATGACAACAAGTAGTTCAGGGAACTAAGGTTGTGATTCACTTGGGGTTACATAGCTAGTGTCTGAGGCCATATTGGAACTCAGGTCTTCCTGAGTCCAGGCCCAGTTCTCTATCCACTGCATCACCTAGCTGCTTCTATATGCTATTTATAACATAATTGAAAAGTAGCAATGCTGTTTCTGCTTGAATTCCTCAAGGGAGCTCCTTTCCTCTCAAGGTGCTGGTAGCGTTCATTTTTAGAATATTCTTCCTTCTATTGGCCTGAAATCTCTCTCTTACTTCTACCCACTAGTCTTTTGTTTTTCCCTGGGGATAAGGAGATCCAGTCCAATACCTCTTCTCCATTGCAAGTCTCCAGATATCTGAAGACAGCTCATTATGACCCCACCTACATCCCTCTTTTCCGGTTAAGATGCCTGGCTCCTTCAACTGTTCCTTGTGTAAAGACCTTATCTGAGTTCCCAGATTTCTATAGACTGTGTTTTCTTAAAGCTGCTATCAGGGGATGATTCTCATAGAGCTTCACATATTGTGAGCCCACATATTGTGTCTAGCTAGGTTGGCATGGAACTCATGTGAGAAGACCCGGAAGCAAGACATACCAAGGTTGAGACATAGAGCAGAAAAAAAGAAATATGGAGAAAGAACAGAGACAACTTAGACAGGGGTAACTTATGGGACTCATCCAGGGAATGAAGCAAGCTTCAGCCTATTGTGAAATGTGCGATGTGACCGTTTAGACCTTGGAAATAGGCAAAGTAGGCAAATCAGGGCTTGATTTGTTGATCATTGTTTTGTTGATCTGTTGTCTTGTTGGTATTATTAAGACAGTGATAGGGAGAATGCTAATAATACAGATGAAATTTAAGAGTGTGTTGTGTGTATCTTTTTTTTTTTCAGAGACTTACTTGTTCACACCCCTGAGCTCATTTCATCCCATCAGGGTTTGTATTTCTCAGTTCTTCTCTGAATGACTTAAGGACTGATGGAGACTAATGAAGCTCTTCCTGTTTCTGCTAATGCCACACTTGAGGACTTAGAAAGTCATGTGTAGTACAATGGACAGAGAACCACATCTGAGATCAGGAAGACCTTGGTTCAAATCCCATCTCAGATATTTACTCTGGGACCTTGGGCAAGTCACCCAAACCTCAATTACCTCATCTGTAAAATGAGGGGATTAAACTGGATAGTCTCTAAGTCCTTTCTACCTCTCTGATCCCATGACTTGATGTGGTTACACCATACTGGAAGTCTCACTCTTTGGGGGAGATGCTGTAGCTGAGATTCACCTCTTCAGTGGCAAAAGGCCACATTGGCCCAATACCAAGACACCACAAAAGAACACATTGGCCCAATACCAATACATGACAAGTTGAAGGATCTCCACGGTGGGTCTTATTACACTCACTTTTGTCCTCATAGATTTCATGCCACTCTAGGACAGCATGCCAACTGGAGACTCAGGAGTAGCAGTCCTAGTTACTAAAAGGCTGGAAATTGGCATGGGATGATGACCTTATTTGATGTATTTTATACTATTAATCACTTGATGCTTCTTCAATATTGTGAGGTTTCCTGTTTTAAGTGAACTGCTCTTATTCTCACTATACTGCAAAGTCATGTGATGAATTCTGGCTGGTCTAAAATTCAGTGCATTGGGGCTCAAAACATTACTGTAAGTAGATTTGAACCCCAAACCAGGTAGCAGTTTGGGACCCTATCATATATACACTGTCATGGCTTCTACAGCTCATTGGAAGAGAGGTGCAGTTGAGGGGTGGAAGGAAACCCACAGAGGAGGCTGAGGCCATGGAGAGACATTCTCTTGGTCTGCCCTCCTTTCCCCTTTCCCGATGATTTTATGTGAGTTTTCAAGTGCATGTTCAACAATCCACTTTTTAGTTATTATTCTTATCTATTTAGTCTCCTTTCTAGGGGTTGTTGTGGGTGAATGTCTTTGCCTGCCCTCTCAGCTTCTCATCCCCTAAGATGCCTGCTGGGCACATTTGCAGCCTTCTGCTTCAATGTTTACTGTTTACAAGCCTTCAAATAGTTGTAGAGTTGTCATCATGTTCTCAAAACTCATCATCAGCTGGGCCAGGAATGTGCATTTCATGTTTTTCATCTCTCCTCATTAGTGAATGCCTTTAATCATCCGTTTACTCAGCTCTGAAACTCCTCTAATTTGTCAGCATTGCTTGGAGGCAGAAGACACCAGAACTGAGCACAATGTTTCTGGATCACCTCTTCTTGTTTGGGGGACTCTCACCTCCCTGTTAATAGGACAAGATGGTCACCCTGCTAGATATGTAGAGCCTTATGGGATGTCAGAACTGGCAAGGCTATAAGAGACCATCCAAACCCACCTCCTCATTTTATAAGCCAGGAAACTGAGGTCCAGATAAGGGGAAGTCACTTGTTCAGATCTCAGTAAGCTAGAGACAGAGCCAAGACTAGAAGCCAGATCTTCTGATGTTAGCCCCAGTGTTCTTTCCACTAAGACGGCAATAATACATCTGGTATTAGAAGATAAAACAAAGGCTCTTAGGAGTTATTTGTCCCTCAAGAACAGCGAAGCAAGGAAGATGAATTAGCTTGTCATTGATTTGAATGATGGAAGAAAAATGGCAGTCAAGTGGAAAAAGACCTGGACTGGGAGTCAGTAAACGTGGAGGTCTCCTTCTGGCTGTAACATCCAATGATCTGGGCAAGTAAGAGTCACTTCCTCTCTCAAGACTCATTTTCCTCCTAAATTTTTTTGAAAAGGGAACTTTAAAAAAAAAGATAAGGTGAGGGAGATTGGTTAGATAAGATCATATAGTACAATGAAAAGATTACTAGACTTTGGAGTCAGGAAAGATCTAGATCCATAGATGTCACTTCTCCTCTCTGAGCCTTGATCATCCCATCTGTAAAATGGGGATAATAATAATTTCTAAAGAAAATATTTCATAATCTTTAAAGCGCTACATATGAATTTGAATTACTATTTTAGATGGTTTGTGAGGTCCCTTCTAACTTTAAAATTCTAGGTAAATCATACTAGCTTGTTTCTTTTGGGGATACAAAGAATATTTTTTAAATTTTTTTCTAGCAATAGTTCTAACATTTATAATTAATTATGGTAATGAATATTACTCATTCATTCAATAAAAATACTACTTAAAATAATAATAGCTAATATGTATAAAACACTTTAATATTTTCAGAGTTATATTATCTCATTTGATCCTCACAACAACTCTTAAAGGGTTCCATTATTATCCTCCATTTTAGCAGGTGATATAACTGAAACTAAGAGACAGTAAATGATTTACCTAGGGTCACACCACTAGTAAGTGTCTGAGGTAGGATTCAAACTCAGGCCTTTATGTCTCCAAGTCCAGAATTCTTTTGTCTATGTCCCCATTTATGTATCCAGCACTGATAAATATTTGTTATACTCGAGTGTCTGCTAAGTTATTTTATATAAAATATAAATATAATCAAAATCAGAACTGTATTTTTTCACATAATGCTCGCATGTCTGATGACAGTTTTGACAGAACAAAAATAGGTGTGAATTCTATGAGAAATCTGTTGCAAGAGGCACCCATCAGGGGTGGGGACTCACACAGGGGCAGAGAGTTGATGATGGAGAGAAAGATAATGAGGGGCAGGTGACTGATTCTGATGGCTCACCTGTCAGGATTCTTTCAGTGAAAAGGGTGTCCCTTTTAGGTACACGTGTGTGTGTGTGTGTGTGTGTGTGTGTGTGTGTGTGTGTGTGTGTGTGGTTTTGCCTTTCATTCTCAAAGAGGACCATGATGTAAGGAAGATGATGCCATGACTTGCAAGTGAATACTGCCTCAAAGGGAAGTGGGGGAGAAAGTCATGCTGAGGGATGTGTGTGTGTGTGTGTGTGTGTGTGTGTGTGTGTGTGTGTGATAGAAGAAGTAAATCTGGTAGTCCTAGACTCTCTAAA